CCTCCCCACCCCCCCCTCCTCCCAGTCGGCCGCGCTTCTCCTCCCTCCCCGGGCTCGCTCGCTCTGACAGCAATGGCGGCCGCCGACCGCGGCTCGGCCCGCCATTGGCTGCGGCGCGTCACGTGACGGGCGCCGGCCGCGCGGGGGGCGGGGGAGGGGCCGCGGCGGCGGCGGCGGCTCGCGGGAGGCGCTGCTGAGCCGAGCGCGGCCCTCTTCGGAGCGGGGACGGAGCTAGGGAGGGAGAGAAAGCGGTGCGGGCGGCCGTGGGACGGCGGGGCTGCGTGGACGCCCCGCCCTGGGCGCGGGCGCGCGGCTGTCGCGGGCGGGGAAGGCCGCGGCTCCCCGGCCTGGCCTCGGAGCCCTGGTGGCCGCTCCGGCCTGGGGCGCGGCGTGGGCCGGGCCGGGCCGGTCTGGCGGATCGTGCCGAGAAGGGTCTCCTCGAAACCTCACGGCCGCCGGCCGCTGCGCACCGGGCGGAGGAGTGGGACTCGGAGACACAAAGGCAGCGAGGCGCTTGCCCGAGGTTGCGGGACTCGAACCGGGACGCTGGGAAGCCGAAGCTCGGGGCTCGCTGCCTACCGAGCGCTGAGCTCCTAAGGCACACACGCTTCTGGAGCCCTTTGCGCCCGCTCTGTGCGTGCATTCCTTGCATAAATGTTTGCATCGTTCTTGCTGTATGCCACATTTCCACCGGATTATGTGTGGGGAGCAGGCCCTTCCTCGAGCTCTAAGCGTTCAGTCAACCAGCATTTCTTCTTCAGAGTAATCGGCCTGAGAGAAGTGCCGTCCATCCCTCCAGGAGTTTTCAGCTCCAGAATATATACAGGGGGGAGTTGACTTGAAAAGAGGTAGAATTAGCTGTGGTGGGGCACGCCTAGAATCCCAGCACTGGGAAGCAGAGGCAGGCTGATCCCTGCGAATTCCAGACCAGCCCATGCTACGCAGTGTCTAAAAGAAACAAAAAAATAATAATAATAATAAAGTGTAAAAACACAGGAGAGAGAGGTAGGAATGTAATTAAGGGGGGAGGAGGAGACACAAATCTGACGTAAGAATGGAGCTTTGAAGCTACCGCAAACCTTAAAACCTGGAACGAAGGCGGTTCATATGTATGTCCCTTCACAGAATCTTCAGAACTACCTTAGCGAGCATCCCCAAGGTCCCAGTTACTGAGTGGCTTGACGCCAGGAGTATCTGAATGCAAAAAGCTCTGGAAAGGATGCCAGGAGCTGGCTTTGCTACACCTAGCTGCGACCCTGCCCAACAAAGTTTAACTCTGTGTCTTATTTCCTAATCTGTCCAAAGCAAATGCTAATTGCTGACCTGCTGACCTCAAGCCAAGGTCACAAATTTCTGTTGAGATGCTATAGAGGGAAGCTTCACAAGGGGGAAGCCAGACCCTTCATCCACACAGGTGGCGTTACTGAGACCTGAGCAGTCTGGTGGTTCATCACATCCAGAGCCCACAGGCTGCAGCCTACTAACTGGTCATAGTGTAAGCAAGTTAAGGGAAAGGGGAAAGAAGGGAGGTGAGGGGAGGGGGTGCAGCACAGGAGCAAAAGCAAACAGGAAAGTGAACAAAAACTGGTTGATCCATTTATGGATTAGGAATGCTGTCATTAAAAAAAACTTCATGTATTGCTAGGACTAAATATTTGTGTCTCATTCACAATTCCTGTTGAAACCCTATGAAGGATGTGGTAGTTGGCACGGGATGGAGCCCTTGTTTTGAGATCAGTGCCCTCAGAAGAGACACAAGAGAAGTTGAGTCTCCCCTCTCGCCTCTGGATTGAAATGCATGCGCCAATAGGCTGGCTTTGGTCTTCCCAGCTTCCCAAACTGTACAGTTATGTTTCCGCTCTTTTAAGTCATCCAGTCTACAGAAATTCAGTTAGCAAAGCCGCGCGGACTCAGGTATACCAGAAGAAAATCAGAAATTAAAATCCTGCATCCTGGCAATATCCTCATGTTTTCCACAGTTGGAAGCGGCGCCCTCAAGCACTGTAGAGTGGGAATATAAAATAGCATCATGGCTTTGGCTGTCCAGGCAAGAACTCTCCACAGGGGCTGGAGAGATGGCTCAGTGGTTAAGAGCACCTGCTCCTTTTGCAGAGAACCCAGGTTCAGTTCCCAGCACCCACAACCATCTGAAACCCCTGTTCCAGGGGATCCAACTCCCTCTCTTGCCCTCCATAGGTAGCAGGTACACACACAGCAAGAATACTCACACACACACAAAATAAATGTAACAGAATTTTTAATTAATAAAAAGAATTTTGGATGTTTACAATGTATACATTCTTGGGCCCAGCAATTCTCTTTTGAGGGGTTCAGACATGCGTACAGGCGTGCAAAGGCCTGGAATGTAGGTAGCATGGGCTGCCGTTTTGTCTGTAGGGCAGAAACTGGAAGCAACTGTGTGTGCATCAGGGGACATCTAACAAAATAATTTCATTCCAGGCAGCCATTAAAAATAATGAGTCGATGCGTTCTCAAAGAGCGCGACCCAAAGCATGGATTAACTGAGATAGCCCTGGAAGGTTACCATGACACTATGAGTAACATCAGCTGCCTCCAGGGAGGGGAGCCGGGGGACTTCGGGAGAGGGTGGGGAAAGGAATCACTTTTCACTTTACCGTTTTTTTCCCTTCTTTTAAAATACAAAACACATCCCTACCACCTATCCATCCCATCCATAATAAACAACAGAAGTCAGTCTATAAATAAAATTGAAAACAGAGCAATCAAAGGCACCGGGAAAGTCAGTTAAAAAGCAAACTGAAGCTGAGCATGGTAGAACAGCCCCCTGATGAGAGGGAGCTGAAGTGGAAGGTTCCTGAGTTTGGGGCCAGCCTGGGCTACACTGCAAGACTTTGTATAAACTATAACAGTGCGAGAGACAGGGAGGATAGGGGATAAAAAAAAGGGGGCCGAGGAGAAGACGGGGGAAGGCAAATAGAAACAAGAGCAAAACCAAGTGGGCAAAACTCAGATTTTCTTCTGTGTCAACTCCAGGGCCCCAGAGGGGAAAGGGGACACTGGAAGTTCCAGTGGTGACTGTCCTGGCCACAGGTGTCAGGTGTTCAGACTGAGAGCCCCACAGAACTGGGCCCTGGGCTCGGCTGCACTGCGGAGCAGCCTGTTCTCTTGAACCAGCCATTCAACATCGCTAAGCCTCAGTTTCCTCCCATTTGCCTTCAGCAGCCTGTAACCTTCAGGTCAGTCCTACCTGGGAACTCCTTGGCCTCTCTGCACAGCTGAGATTACTGATAACGATCCTTAGGTTCTTACTCAATAGAGAAAGCTCAGGGAGTTGGAAGCAAAGCTCTGGAGATAAGATAAACACAAAGCAAAACAAAAGTGAGAGATAGGCTCCTGGGAAGCAGCAGGGAGCCAGGCTGGGACCTGGAGTCAGTTCCTCAGGTGCAGGGACTTCATCTGTAGCCAGTGACTTAGTTTCCCCACTTACACGTAAATCTTGCTGCACCAACAGGAAGTGAAAGTCCCATTGTGGGGCTGGAGAGATGGCTTAGCAGTAAAGAGCAGTGGCTGCTCTTCCTAGGTTCAATTCCCAGCACCCACGTGGCTGCTCACAGCTGTCTGTAACTCCTGCCCCAGGGGATCTGACGCCCTCACACAGTCACACATGCAGGCAAAACACCAGCGTACACAAAAAAAAAAAAAAAAAATAGTAAGTCCCACTGTGTGCAGAGATCTTTGGTCTCACCACTGAATGTGAAGACCTTTCTGTTTCTAAGAAGGCCAGATCAGTTCTCTTTCAACATTAACCAAACGAAGTGGCAAAGAAAATGGAGGCAAAAAAAAAAAAAAAAAAAAGACTCGAGAAGGAAGCATCTGTCACAAGAACAAAAGGGAAGGACTTGGCCGCTGCTTGCAGGGTGAGGAAAGGGTGCCACCTGCGAGCCCCTGGCACTTGGACTCCCTTTCCCAGCTCTGCCGCTCGTTAGCTGTGCAGCCCTGAGCTGGTCACTTAACCCTATGACCTGCCTTTCTTCCCAACTGCTCCATGTCCCATGGTGATAACTCTGGGTGCCGGCCGGAGAGGCAGTAATCAATAAATCACAATCACCAGCCACTTGTCCATCCTTGGAAAAGGCGTCTTCCAGTCAGTTCATACGGAGTTTGTTGGTCGGTTTTTGTTTGGTGTTGCTTTCCCCCTTCGCCGTGACTTTGTTGGATTATTTACCAAATAACGGGGAGCAGAATGCCTGCTCTGGGGAGCACAGCGGTATGTGTATACTCCAGGCCGGGGAGGTGGCTCAGTGTGAAAAGCATATGCTCTGTAAGCACAAATACCTGAACCAGGAGCCCCGGCACCCACGGAAAGGTCAGGCATGGCGGCACCCACCTGCAGCCTATCTGCTAAGAGGTTGGGATGTGGCAGGTGTGTCCCCAGAGCGTGCTGGCCAATCCATTTAGCCCATTAGGGAGGTTTAGGTCAGGGAGAGACTCTGTCTCAAAAACAAAAACAAACTCCAAAACGTGGAGAAGAGTAGAAAAGGACACACAATGTCTGACCTTTGCATACCATTGTGAGCACGCAAGCACACACACACACA